CCTAAATAAAATAAAATATAAATTAGTATATGTTGTTGAATATTCATCCATAAATTACATATATCCATTGTATTCAAATATTAAAAATATTTTAAAAATATTCATCCATAAATAACATATAGCCATTCTATTAAACTATTAAAAATATTTTAAAAATATTTCATGCTTGGGGATAATGTTTATCTTTACATGTAAACCTTTACTAAAAATGTGGTATGTAATATATATTAAAAATATCATTCGAAACCTAATAAAATTGTGCGCACGTGGACATAACGTGGTATGTAATATATATATATATATATATATATATTTAAGATAATTAAGATAATTAAAAAATAAATATTTAAATATTCTTTTTTCTCTTTTTCTTTTCCTTCCAAAACTTTCTCTAATTTTCTTCTATTCTTTTCCTCCCCAAGCACTAAACCTGCTCTCATTTTCTGCACTTCATTGCCAGTTGAAATGAAGATATGACAACTGTTTAAACTTCAATAATAAATTTAGTCATCCCAACCTTTTGTTTTTTACGCCAATCTCAAATCTTATTCTTTCTTTTATAAGCTTTATGTTTCTACCAAAAAAAAAAAAATAAAGAAGAAAAAGCTTCTCAGTCCATTCTTGAAACAATAAGAAAACCATTATATATATAGAACAAATGGATTTCAAGCTATTGTTTTTTTATGAAAAAAGTTGGAATTTAGTTGGAATTGGTTGTTGGAAATTCTGAATGAATAATAATCTGGAAGAAAATGAATTATCAATGGGGTGCTCCCAGTATTAATAATATACCATACAAATCAATTTCGGTTACATGAAATGGAGATTGTGATGTATATTGTTTATATGTGTATATATAGAGAAAGATATATATATATATATATCCATATATATATCAACTTTCCAAAATTTCCATGCGAAATTTTGTCCCCCCTTTTTCCAACTCACGTGTCTCCTCACTTTCTCGCTCCCCTTTTCTAGCTTATTCAAGAGAAAAATTGCAGTGAAAGACAGAGAGGAAGAAGAAAAACTTCAATAAAGTATATAAAATAGATAGATATAGTGATAGTTGTATTTAAGTATGGGCAGAAAGAGGAGCAAGAAGAGAGGTGTTATGGAGAAGATTGACCAGAAGTCTCCCATGGTTTGTTCTTTCTGTTCTACTTTCTTTGCAAATGTCTATTTGTATTCTCTCTCTCTGTAATCTTGAATACTTCCATTTCCTTTTTATCTAAACAATTGAAGGGTAAAAGAGTATGTATGTGTGAGATTATTTTTATCATGGGTATATCTAATTGAGATGAGGGTATATAGGAGATAAGCAAATTCTTGTAGGTAAATCTAAAATTGGCTAAAATGACAGTTAAATTTAGCTGTGATTTCTGGGGGTTGTTATCTGATCCTCTTAGCTAAATTTGGGGAATCTTTTGTTTGAGGGATTTTTGGGGGTTTGATTTTTTCCGGGTTTTCAGTCAATTTTTTAGCAGTTTTACATTTTAATCGATCAAATTAGAGTAAAATTCCTTCTTGATTGTTGATTATGTGACTGTTTGGAAAAATTGTTGAATGGGGTTCTTTTGATTTCTGGTAAGTGATCTGCTGCCCTCTTGAACTTTTATTCAGACATTTGGGGCTCTCTGTTTTATGGATTTTTACCCCATTTCCTGCCCATGTTTCAAGTTCTGATTATTTACATTTTTATTTGCAATTGCAAGAACCAAGTATGATTTTTTTGATTTAGTAGTTAAATATCAAATCTTAACTTAATTCTTTAAGAATAACTCTTGAACGAAAAACAGTTTCCTCAAGGAAATGGGCATGTCAAACGTTTAAGTATAGTCAGATCACCAGTAGGCTTTTTGCGTGTAATTTATGGTGAAATTTTCATGTTTTGGCATTTGTTTATCGACACCATTCTAAAATAAGGGTAGACTATTTTTCAAAAGTCAGAAATTTATTTATAAATAAATGTATAATGAGGAAAATATGTGCTAGTTTCTGGTAGATGATTATGAGGAAGATAATTCCTTTGTTACAAAGTGTTCATACAAAAAATGCTGAATTTCTAAAGGATTATATGTTAGATATTGTCTTTAATGTAATAACCAGTGGGGAGACATGTTAATACATGAAGAGTAGTAGAAATATGTTTTCTAGTATTATTTAAGTATCAATATTTGTTATAGATGTAAATTCTAAAATATGTTAGCATCCAATAGTATTATCTTATGGCTAATTCTTAAGTGTTGTTTACTTGTATGTTAGGAAGATGGTTGATTGAATGAGTGATTTCATTTCAACTTAATAACATGTTTGATTTAGGTATTTCTCCATAAAAGACATGTCTATAATTCATTCTATGCAGATGTCAGATGACTACAGCTAATCCCCTAGAATTATTGTTTATTAAGTTTTTAAGAGAAGTAATCCGTGTTAATTTTGAATTTCAAAACCATTCTATGATGGATCTAATAAAAAAGGGAACATGCTGAACTTCTGGGGGACTTAGGCATAAGGTAGCTAAGCCAAAGCCTTTAAGTTTTCCTGGAAAAAAGCCTAAAGAGTAGCTGAATTGAATATTGGTTATGTCCTCAAGGCCTAAAGTTTTATTCACCCTTTCAACTCCCAATCCAAAGGAGCTCTGAACCCATCAAAGAGCTTAGGTTGTCGGATCCTCTTCTTCTAATCCCGCCAAAAGTTATTCCCTTTGTTTCTAGAAGAAGTTATTTGCCCTTAGTGATTATCTTGTGATTAAGCTACAAAGCCCATTGGCTGGAACACAACATCTGACTAGCAACCAGACTGAGCAAATTGGCTCCTCTGCATAGGTTGGGGATTGTGTCCTGGGAATAACCTAGCCTAGAGGAGGCAGATGGGATCTTTTCTAGGGAGATCTAGAGGAGTCAGAGCTACTTGCAGGCTGTTGGAACAAGCTAGAGGTTTTTGTTCAAATTAACATGTCAAATTGGGAAAAAACCAACATCAAAATAAGGAGCTAAGGAGAATGCATCGAGTTCCATTATGGTGTTTGTTGGGTTGGCAAGAAAAGAGAGAGGAAAGGGTGACTAGAGTAGGATGTAAGGATGCTTGAGTGCACCATCATCTACGGTGAAAACAACATGGTAGTTTATGAGTGTGGAAGGGGTAAGGAGAAATTTCCTTGTTTCTATTTGTTTCCAATGATTAGTTTGGAATACGAGGCGTCTTAACAACCAAAGTAAGAGAGCTCTGATCTCGAGGCTTATGGAGGAATTGGGAAAGAGGATTTACTCTGTTTGCAGGAAATAGGAAACAAAGATTAATGTTCTGGGGGATGGTTTCGTATAATTCGTGTGAAAGAGATAGATAGGTCGGTTTGTAGGTTGGTTTAACTCACCAGTTGGTAATTCATGTGGTGTTCAAGTGTTAGAGAATCGGAAAACTTCTTCGAGTCTCTAGAGAATAACATGTTCTCCTTGTGCTGTATTTTTTTATTTCTCAATAAATTCCTAGTCACTTTATACTTCTGATTCTCTTGTTAGTTTTGATATGCATAATCAGAAAATATCTTTACCATAAATTACTTTGAATTCCTAGTCACTTTATAATTCTGATCTCTATTTTAGTTTGTGAATTAACCACTTGCTAGAAATGTTGGCCCCTTCTTGCATAATTCATTCTTCCCATAATGTGGTTGCTAATAACGTGGATCATCAGATCATTGAAAATGATTTTTGGGTGAAATTACATTGGATTTAATCTTCTTTTTATGTTATTGTTCTTAAATCACGCTGCTGAAATGGGTAGGCACAACAAAAGATGCAGTGTGCTCTTGGAAGAACCCGTGGTGATAACCAGAAGACTGCAAATGGAGAAAACAATTACTCATCAAGGAAATCTTTAGAGCAAGAAAATTCCAAAGCACTGTCACAGGTCACTATTATGATCTCAGTACTTTAGCCTTTTTTTTTTCTTCTATGATTTTGTACTGACTTTCTGTCTTTCTTCAGGATTTTAAAATATCCTCTGTCACTTGGAGGAACACTGATCAGAGGTAATATGGATTCTAGGATATCCGTTTATTTTTTTCTTGCCATTGAGAGTGGTTAATCTGTCAAGAAAGAAATCAATGTTTGTGTTTCCTTATATTTAACCACATTTCTCAAATTTTTGGTGACTTTCATGGTCTTAAGATCCCTGTTCGGATTTATTTTTATAGGCAGCCACTCAATTATTCTGGGTTAGAAAATATGGTAAAGATGTTTCTTATATTTTGCTTAATTAACTTCAATGTGCATTTTTGTTGAATTTACATGTTGCAAGTATCTTTGTTTCTCTTTGTACGGCATGCATGATTCCATCCCTATATCCTACCTGAAGGACACTCTTCCTTTACATGCTTTTCCAAGTGCTTACTTTATAGAGACGTTTACATCCCCACTGACTCAAAATTCTTCCTCTTTGTGGGTGTTGAACATTTATTTGTTTATTTATTATTATTTTTTCTGTGAACACTACATTCAGCTCCTAAATTGTGTCAATATTTCCTATATAGAAAAGATAGTGGAAAAATATATTAAAATAGCAAATCACATAATTATCGTAAAAATTATTTGTTAATTCTAAAAACATTTCATCTTAGCTTCACTATTCATAGAGATACCTATGAATATAAAAAAATATCAAGAATAGAGTCTATAATAGAAGTATAACCATAGCAGAACTTAATTATTTTGGACATGTAGGAAAGGACTATAAAAAAATAGCTTAATATTCTCTGGTGGATTCTATAGGAAAGTTCCTATTCTCTTACAGTCCTCAAGCTGATGCTTATATTAGCTTAATTTTATTATAAATAAAAAAAAGGAAATAAAAATTAAAAGTAAAGTAAAAAGTTATAGTCTGACAAATTTATACAAGGTAAGGGAAATTCCACCAACCACTGGTAACAAGGTTAAGATTGGCAAATTCCATGAACTACAATTCCAAACGAGATGAACCGAGGATCAATTCTAATACTCGTGTTCAGAAAGATTTTACAAAACAAGCTCAACCAATAGTAAGGTACCATGTACCATTAACAACAATCATAAACCTTCCATAAGCTGCAAATCATGGCAACAATTTATCACCAACTTAAGTCTCAAACATATTCGTCTAAAAGGAAGTTTCAGAAGTATTATTATTTGCTGCATTTGAGACAAGCGCCAGAACTTCATCAAACATTGAACAGACTAGAATTTTCGCCACTAATATTACTAGTGGCTCCGTTAAACATTGATCCCAAATGCAACAACAAAACTTGTCCTTGTCGATGCCATGACCCTCCTAGCTTAACAAAGAGATTTCAAACTCTCCTCAAACTGATCTCTGACAAGCTTATATCTTTCCTCAAGCATAAATGTATTTGCTTGGCCAAGGAGCTCATGCTTTGGAAAATAACGTATTTTGGTTCTACATACTGAAAATTAGACTTTATTTCATTCATCTGATAACATTCTTATAAAAAATGAATTATTTTGTTTACTTATCTATGAGATTATTATTTTCTTATTGTTAATCCTTTGTTATTAAATTTTTAGGTGTACTGTTTTGACATTTCTTATGCCTGAACTTGATGGAAATTTGAGAGTGGTTGCCCTCCCACTGCAATACTTTAATGATGCCAAGCACTTGAGATCTGGATGTCAGGTGAATATGAACAGTTTATTCCTGGTTCCCTCACCATCTACTAATTCTTTAATGATTGATCAATGTCATATACAGAAAGTGCCTTCCCGTGGTGCTACTTTTCCTGTCAAGTCATTTGCAACCAGAAACTTCCCTCCACCTAATTGGCAAAGAAACAGAACCTCAATAAAGAAAGCGAATGAATTCTCTGGCAATTCTTCTTGTCAGCATTGTCTTACGTGCAATGGTTCCTCTGCTTTAATTCCAAAAGGAACAAATGCTATGAATTCACCTGATACTGACAAAAGCATTGGTGGTTTTAAGAAAGAGATGGCAGCAAAGAAAAATACAAAAAGCAAGGGAAGAAAGAAGCAAAAAAAGAAGAAGAGAGATTCATGTGAGTCTGATCCAACTGAAATACAAGTTTTACCCAGTACCTGCGGAAGTTCGAAGTCTGAAATCTTTGGTAACAAGGAAACAGATAATGGGGATGGACTAGTATCTCATGACAGGGATAACATAATCAATTCTAAAGGCAACAGCAACAGTGTTATTGAATTTTCCGAATTGAGTAAGAAATCTAGGCCTGATGTTGAGGTGGTGGATGTATCAGTAGTTCAGAGTTATACTCAGGCGCAGCCTTTCACTTGTGATATCAACAGAAGATTGGAGGAAACACATATTCCAGAGATCAGTTGTCATGATAAGTATGACTTACAAGGGTCAAATTCACTTACTTTAGGCTCTAAGAGTGCTGATACTGGTAATTCACTTATTCTTGGCTCAAAGTGCAGTAAGAAAATTGGCAGAAGTTCAAGCATCCAAAAGCTTGGAGGTCATCCTGGCCATACAGGAAAGGAGAACAATCATGTGTGGCAACGGGTTCAGAGAAATGACTCTGATTTGAAGAAATCAAGCTCTGAATGCTCTCAGTTGGATCCTTTGCTGGAAAGGAGCTTTAATGTTGCTAAAATTAATGCAGTTTTCAGAATTCAAGATAAGAAGAAATCAAAACATAGAGTTGTTAGAAAGTTGAAAAGAAAGATTAATGTAGAGTTGAAACAAGAAGAAAATATTTATTTCAGCAGGGATTCTCATCGCAATACGGTTCACGGTTCAGATGCTCATGGAGATACTCATATCCAAAAAAATGAAAAACTGGCTAGCTCAGCTCTAGTTAACAGTAACAAAGGAATTCTTACCAACACTTATCCAGGTTGTCCAGTGTATTTGAAGCTGTCCAATACAAATGAATACATGAATTCTAAATCAGTTCAAGTTTGTCCAGGTGATTTGGAATCTCATTATATTGACTCTAACGCTCCCTGCACTCAGAATGTGGAATGTCAGGATGCCTCATTGCCAAAATCTCGCATCTCTTTGAACAAATCAAATTTAGTTATAATTAATGAAGTTTCTCAAAGGGAAAAGAAAACCTGTCGTTCAGAAAACAGTAAGCAGAACCATGGTTCTGGATCTATTCTGCAAAAATGGGTGCCAGTTGTAATCAAGGATCCTGATTTGACAATGTCTATTGGATCTGGCAGTTCATCATTAGAAATTTCTGAAGATTGGAGTTCAGGGAACTCCATAGAAGAGAAAGTAGATTCTACTTCCCAAGATCTTTTGTCTTCAGAGAATATTGGAATTGAAGAATTTGAAAAATTAGATGAAGATGAAAGCAGGAATCAGAAGTTGAGAAGCCTGAATTCCTCAATGCTCAAGGAGCACGCTGCAGCTAATTGGGTGCCAGGTGAATCTGAAAAAAATTCTGTGCTCACAGCTGATTCAGATGAAATTGGCAGGGCAGTGAGAGATGCTTGTAGGGTACAAGTGGCTTCCAAAGCTGTCGGAATTGAAACTGGCAGTCAAATTGGGGAGTTTGAGAAGTTTCTACACCTTTCTTCTCCTGTTGTTTCAAACATTAATTTAATACCTTGTACGACATGCGTGGGGTATCAAATTGGACGTAAAGTTTTGTGCAGGCATGAGAGACCCAATATCCCATTAGGAACCCTGTGGCAGTGGTATGAGGAACATGGCAGCTATGGTTTACAAGTGAAGGCTGAGAATTATGAAGATACAAAAAGACTAGGTCGTGATCTTTTTGAATTTTCCGCATATTTTGTACCTTATTTGTCAGCAGTTCAGCTCTTCAAAAACTTTAAACATCATTCCATAAAGGATAAAAATGGGTTATCTATTCATCAAACGTCAGAAAAGAAATCTGATGTTGATCATCCTCCAACATATTCAGCAGTTGTTCCTAAGCTTCACACAACTGATACAAGCATCCCATTGCATGTGAACAGTGCTTGTGAAGAATCATATTCGCTTTCTAATAAAGAAAGCTCTTCTGTTCCAACTTTTAGCATGGCATGGTCTGGTGAACTGGAGCTGCTTTTTGAATATTTCGAGTCAGAGAAGCCTTGGCAAAGACGGCCTCTATATGAAAAGTATTTTCTCTTTTGCAGCTGTTTAGTTCTTGCTGTTTCAGTTTCATGGATAATCATTTATTGTCATATTGATGCTGTTATCAAGAGCTTTTGTGCAGGCCGCATTATTACAATCATTAAAGCTAAATCCTAATGATGTTTGTATCTTTCCCTTGCTTGATCACTCATATATCTGATAATTATTATATCATCTGCTTGCATTCGGCCATTGAACATAATTGAAACTTTGGCTATGCTGTAGCGATTCTTCTACTATCTTGAATCTTTTGCTTTATTGTAACAAAACAAATATCCATCGATGGCTATGGTTTTCTTTTCTTTTTTTTTTAATAGTCAACTGATTGATATTATCTGGTTGGTTCCGTTATTGTTATTCTTGAACAGCTTCACATGCATAATAATTGGAAAGAATAATTTTAAGAATTACATAGAATCCCTTGTGAGAATTAGAAACTAGTAAGCTTTTTTTTTAATTTTTTTTTTCTTTGGAGTCTTCTGGTTCTCGGCAGTAAAATTATCTTCAATTTTGTTCAATCCAGGGTGCAAGATCTAGTAAGAGGTAACGTCCCTTCAGAGTGCACAATGTATGGGGATCCAGCTAACTTGAACTCTATAAATATACATGAACTTCATCCTGGGTCCTGGTTAGTGCAAAAAAAAAAGTACTTTTGAGAGTAAAGAATCCTTGTATTGCCACAATACTTATTCACTTTTTTGCACAATGGTTACAGGTATTCGGTGGCGTGGTACCCTATCTACAGGATACCGGATGGCAACTTTTCTGCAGCATTTTTGACTTATCATTCACTTGGCCATTTAGTTCCAAGAAGTACCAAATTCAAGTGCCAGAATATGTGTGTGGAAATAGAATCTCCAGTTGTGGGTCTCCAAAGTTATAACGCTCAGGTATATGGAGATAGCTGTTTCAGTGGCTTTACTTTATTAATGATATTATGAATTATTCTTTTTAATATTGTTCAAACTTAAAAGAGGAATTATGATTTTCATCTATTAAGTTTTGGCCACAAGTGTGTCCATAAACCTAGGCCCTTTCCCTGTCTTATATTATTACTTAAAATGCTTAAATTTATAGTTTCTGTTAGCATGTTTACATTAATCCTGTGTCCTATATTTTTCTTTCTTTTTTCTGTTACCATATACATAATTTCATTTTGTTCATAAACTGAATGCATAATGTGAAGCATGTCATGGAATTAAAGGTGGAAGTAATCTGCCTATTCTCTCCAATAACTTGTACCCTTTTAATTGTATGAAGTGGGTACTGGTTGTTCCTGCCTCTTCTTTTATTTTCTTTTTTTTTCCTAAGACAAACAGATTTGTGGAAAGTTGAGATAATATAATAAGACAGGTCTATGCAAGTAAAATATTAATCGAATTGTATACTTCTGTGCTCAAGCACTCCTAGATATTACCATATATAGACCCTCCATAATTCAACAAAACTATTCTCAATCTGTATTTCTTTGCTTTTTATAACATATACTGTTAGGGTTCTCTGTTGTGGGCCCTTATTCACTGTCATACTTGTTTATTGACTGAGAACTTTTTTTCTGATATGGGGGTGTTTTAGTGAATTCTCAATATGAGGCCGAATCCTTAAGGTTTCAGTTGAAGGTGGTAGTTTTTAAGTCAAAGCATCACTAAATTCACCAAACAAAAAGAATTTTAGGAGAGAGGGAGTACAATGGCTGGCAAGTAATATCCAAAGATTTGAAGATCATCAAAAGAAAGCTCCTTTGTCCATCTTGTAGGGAACCAAATAGGTACAGTTTGGCAGAGGTGAAGAAGAACTTGCGGGGTTGTTTCTGGTCATAACAAAATACTTTGGGGGATGCTGGAAGAATTTGTCACTGATACCTGAAGTGAGGCAATATAGGTTGGAGTAGTTTGGGTCTCTCAATTGCAAAAACAAAACCAAGTAAACATCACTTTGAAAGAGAAGAAGGATCCAAGGAATGTCCTAGCAAGGTCAGACTGGCGTTTGGAACAGAGGTCAGCATGGAGGTGAAGATAGCAATCAGGTGGAGATCTAGCTGGTATGTCGAGAAGGAGCTTATTTTGGAATCTGAGTCAATTTTCAAAAAAAGTAATTATTGCAGAAAGAAATAAGGTTTAACTCAAAAATGAGAAGATTTTGCCAGATAGGGCTGTACCAGCTGATTTGAAAGTGCTGGAGGGTAAATTTCTTTTAAATATGGTTGACCGAAGCAGGTCCAGAGAGATTTTCTAGACGGAGAAAGCTAAAAGGTCTCTGAAACATCAGCATGCCTCTCTTCTTGACAGAATTTAGCCTTCTCTAGAAGTCTAAAGATAATATTCTTCCGAAAATTGAGGTTAATCCACAGTTGACTGCAATCAGTTCGGAAAAATGACCACCCAAGTAACATCTTAAGACTTAGAAATATTCTGAAGAAGATTGACATTACTCCTAAGATACAATCAATCATAATTGCTGCCTCCAAGGAACCCAATGATCTGCTTGTAGCATCTCCAGAGTTATCGGCTGGACAACCTGTAGAAGTCCCAGGTAACAAAGGTATAAAAAGGTGTCTTGAATCCAAGGTGATCCAAAGAAAGAAAACAGAGTTTCTGGTGATTGATGTTTTATTAAAAGATGGGTACTTGACATCTTGAAAGCCAATGGCTGGGGAGGTAAAGATAAGAATATGCAGAGTTGATCTGATGAAGATTCTTGAGATTCTCTCTTTTTGGTCTCTTTATTTGAGTTGGAGGAAGGTGTTGAGAACGATCTCCTATTTGGTTCCACTTTGAAGACTTACTGGTTTATGAGCATGGGAAAGAGGATTTAGAAAATGTGTAGAGGATCGTTAGGAGTCATGATGAGTCAGTTTTGGATGGTGTGGGAATTCTTTCTAATGAACCATCTCTTGTGGGTGAGAGGATGCTAGGCCTGTGAATGCAAAGTAACTTGCTAGAGTCTTTAATCAAATCTCCAGAAAACAAAATCCTAGTCCTACGTGAGAAGTGGAACGTCCTTCATCTCTTCATCTCTTTACATAGTTACATCTTTGCTTAGTCTTCATCCTGTCAGCTTTTTAGCTAATTTACCCTTGCAATCCAATTTGTGGAAGAGTAATATTGTGTGTTTTATTGAATATTAAGGTCTTATATATATTTTAGCATGAACAATGAAAGGAAACACATAATTAATTATATATGTGGGTATTTTACCAATATTTCCTTTACCCTAATTGTACTTAATGTACACTTTCCAACACTCCATCTCAAATTGATGAATAGATATTGTCTATTTCCAACTTGACAATAATTGTTTAAACCCGGAGTTATTTAATCCTCTAGTTGACACTTGGCACGTTGCAAGATGGTGGACATGTACGGTGTACATATCGAACCACTATCTAGTTTTTTCTTACTAAAATGTCTATCAACTTCAGTATGTTTGGTCCTGTTGTATTGTGCTGAATTTTGAGCAACTTTGATCATCAATTTAATGTCACAATAAAGTCTTATAGACTCGTCCCATTCAATTTTCAAATCTTCCAAGATCATCTTCAATTATAAAAGCTCATATACTTCTTGTTTCATTGCACAAAATCTTGACTCCGCATTGGACAATGCTACCATATTCTGTTTTTTACTTCACTATGTAGTCAGATTTCCTCCAAAGAAGGTACAATAGCAAGTGGTGGACCTTTTGTCTAATACTAATGGTGCATAATTTGCTTTAATGTATGTTTCAAGAAGTAAACTTTTGTTTCTTTTGAAACATAATAACTTTTCCTAATATCCCCTTCAAGTGGCTGAGTATTCGGTTTGCTGCCTGTGAGCGTACTTATTTGGGTTTGTACATAAATTAACTTATCAGACTCATTGCGTAGGCAATATCTGGTCTTATGTGTGACAAGTGTACCAGTTTTCCAATTCAGTCTTTGGTATATCTCTCTGTTAACTTCAACATCTTTTTATACCAATCCCAGTTTAAGGTTGG